TGATATAAAACCATGATAAAAATGAACTTTTAAGTACTAATCAGAAAGAAAAATAAATAAACAAAATAAGAACATAAATAAGATAAAAGTGAACTAAGTAAAGGAAAGGAATTGAAAGACATAAACTTGATATTAATGAAAGCAAAACTTAAGCATTACAAAAATACAAAAAGAGAAAGCAAGAGCATGATTTTGATCAGAAAAGTGTTTGAGCTGGAGGACAGATTCAAACTTCTTTGTTGTTGCTACCGTTTGGACTTAAAAATGACATTTTTAATCTTGGGCTCTATATGAAAGTTGTAGGTCTATGTCTTAAATTTCCATCCATATAAAGTAGACCTAATTCTGAGATCTACAACTCCAGATATGACCCAATTCCCGAATAGTGTTCCGGTTTGGACTGCACCGACATCTCTTTTCTAAGTTTGGCCATCTCTTTGTCTTTTCAATTTCAGTTCTTAAACTCATCAATCAATCCTTTCATTTATGTGATAGGCATGCATTTAAAATGAACATTTACTACTACCACCACCACCATTAGCATCATCATCATCATCATTATTATTATTTATAATTTATACAGTTGACCTCCTTATGGTTTGACCCCGGTCTTACCAGGTTATTTATTACTTCGACACTCCTACACTTGAGAGAAAACATTAATTTTTTGGTCGTGCTAATTTTTTAGTGCCATTGTCGGGAGGTAAATTTTTGTATAAATTATTGTATATGTGCGATGTTGCGACGATCAACCACCCTTCAGGTAAAATAGAATGGGTGTACTTCTGGAAAAATATGAAGAGACAAGGAATTCTTGTCTTTTATTAATGAAAAATTAGAATGGGAGTCGCCACCTAGTCTGCAGAGATCGAGTACGGAGACTGGTTGTACAAAGAGAAAGTATTAGCACCCAAAATACATCCTACTTAAGATAGACTGCATTGTTTTGTCTGATAAAATTTAAAGTCATGTTATGGTTTCTAATTATTGGTTAGTCTATGGTACAAAACAAGCCCTCCTTAATAAGAAGGTTCTTAATAATGTAAAACCTAACCGTTCTATTATTAAAAAAAAAGAATTAAATATCCAGAATACGTATTACATGTAATGTTGTACCCCGGATACTTAAGAGAAAAATAAAATAAAATTTTTGTTGTTTTTGAAATTTTGGCTAATGTTCTCTTGACTTTAATAAACTGGTTATTAAAGTCAATATACATGCTAAAATATTATTTCTTGGTGTATGAAAAACACAATATGATTTTTTAGCTTTTGAGACACTTGGCCATATGCGCAAAAATATTTTTTTCTTTTTTAATTTTGTTTTATATTTTTGGAAGTTTTGACAAAAATCAGGTATTTTAATACCGAATTTGTATTTTTATGACATAAACATACTGTCGGACATTAATTAAAATTATATAAAAAAACTACTACTTAGTACTTAAAAGTGCATTTTTATCAAGGTTTTATATTATCATTTTACACTTGAAATATCAGCAACTTCTTAACTAGAGCATGTTTTATAATAACAAGTCTGATAATATAAGATACCTTTAATTTAAGGTAAATGCTCATTTTAAATGCAACATATCTCACAATTCAAAGGATTTATTGTTGTGATTAATTATTGCAAGTGAAAGGACAAAGAAAATGCTAAATTTAAAAAGAAGATGTCAATTAAATTCAAATTCAAACACTTTCAATTATTATGTCATATCTGGAGCTATAGATATTGGATTTCAATTTAGTTTATATGGATGAAAAGGTAAGAAATAAGCCTATAACTTTCATGAATAGGGAAAGATCCAAATTTGCCATTTTCAAATTAAAAGTTTGGCCACAAAAGAGAAGTCAAAATCTATCTTGCAATCCAGCTCAAATACTGCTTAGAATTTTACTCATAACTAGAGTTCTAGAAGGCCAAATGAAGTGAAAATTGGTGGGTGGAAGGAAAAGACAATTTCCAACAATTTTTATAAGCATACTACTCAAATTCTGATGGTAGCAATGAGATTTCATCCAGACAAGAGCTTAAGGGTTATCCATCACATCCACCAGCAGCACTACTCAATATTTTAGACATATCTTGAGCTATAAGGATCTAAATGCTCTGCAAATTGGTGGGTGAAAGGAAAAGATAATTTCCAACAACTTTCATGAAGAATACTTTGCCAAATTCAGATTAAATCAATATCATTTCATCCAGTCAAAATGCTTGAGTGCTACTGTCTATCAAGTCCATTAAATCAATAGTTGGCCACTACATCAATTATCAATTACTAAATGAATAGTTCTGAATTTTATCCTATAAAAAGAGGCATTTGTCATTCATTTAGGCATCATATTTTTCAAATTAAGATCATGTTCTTGCTCTCTCTCTTTATATTCTTGTAATACTTAAGTTTTGCTTTCATTATCTCTTATTCATGATTTTCATTTCCTTTACTATACTTAGTTAACTTATATCATGTTTATGTTCTTATATTGTTTATCTATGTTTTTCTTTTTCATAATATTTAGCTAAGTTTATTATGTCAAGGTGAAAAAGTTTTACTAATGGTGCTATGATAAGTATAATATAAACTTAATATGGACTTCAAAGCTTATATCCTAAACAACTTACTATTAACATGTCTTATCATTTTTTTTCTTATTAATTTTTAATATTATGCTTGTTAAATGGTTAATTTAGATCTGTGTTGTATAACATTTGGTATATCAAATACTTGATCCTTTATAGTCTTCAGCCGATATCGTTGTTGTGAGAGGAACTTGATTTGTTGTCAACATAAGTTAGCATTATGAATACCTGCTAAAATTTATAAGTATGGTATTTTGTAAATAAGATGATTAATATGATCATGTTGATTATTTATAAAGAGTTTATACTTTGCTTATCTTTAATACTATCAGTGGATCCTCTAACCTTGACATTTATTTTTATCAGTGTATAATCTTCACATTAATCTTACATCTCAAAGTCCTCTTTAACTCATTATCACCATCACAACCATCATCATCATGATTGTTGTTGTTCTTATTATTATTATTATTATTATTATAGTTTACCTCCCTATGGTTTGACCCCGGTCTTACCGGGTTATTTATTACTTTGACACTCCTACACTTAGGATAAGACATCAATTTTTTGATCGTGTCAAGTTTTTGACGCTATTACTGGGGAGGTAAATTCTTGTATAAATTATAATTTTTATTTTATTTTTACTTTTCATGTATCTAATTTTTGTTTCTTTTGTTTTGTTTTCTTTTTCTTTTATTCTCTTCCTACACATGCATAAAAGTTTGTCACGCACATTAAGTGGTAGACGTTGTAGGGTATTCTCATCATTTTAAGAAAAAATGGCCAAAGAAGATAACTAGTCGCTTCATAATGAGAATAATGAGAATAACCGAGTTAGAACACTTAGAAATCACATGAATCCTATAAGAACAAATATACCCTCATGTATAGTTTTCTCTCATGATGCATCTCACTTTAATTTTAAGTTAGATAGTATTCAACTTTTACCTTCTTTTCATGATTTAGATTTAAAAAATCTAGACTTGCATTTGAAAGAATTTAAAAAAATCTATAATAATTATATATAATGACTAAAATTATAACATTTGATATCAATTTCTCGAAATGTATAAAACTCTTAACGAGTAATTCAGAATGATGATAAAGTTTCCACTCTTGATATTTTAACACCGCTTTGGACCTTACATGGCTTATATCCTCCTTCACCTCTTTCGCTAGAGTGATTGCTACTGACATCGTCTCTCAATTAGCCCAACCTTGCTCTAATATCATATTACGTAATTGATATAGAGATAATGAGGTTTGTTTACTCTAAAAAACCCTTCAAATAAAGAACACAATCATAGTTGCAGGGAAAATCAAAAAACTCTAAAACGTTTGTTAATTCAACAACAAGGCCACAACTTTCAAATAAAAATTTAAGAAAACTTTAAAAGTGAAAAATGAAAAATGAAAAAAACTAAAAATAGAAACTTAAATCATTATTTTTTAAAATAAAACTTATCTAATTAAAAAAATAATCAATTCTAGAAATGTTTTAATAAATAATTAAATATTGGAAAGAAAATAGTTGAACGAGAAATAATGGGATCCCCATGTCATATATATATATTTTCTGTTATAATAACAATTGATTGACAAAGGTGGGAGTCGAGAACTACTCCCATCTTGTAAATACCATTCAGCAACAAATTCATTAAGCTCCAAGACTTCGACATTGTTTTGTGCTTTATCCCATCTTGTAAATACCATTCAGCAACAAATTCATTAAGCTCCAAGACTTCGACATTGTTTTGTGCTTTATCCCATCTTGTAAATACCATTCAGCAACAAATTCATTAAGCTTCAAGACTACGACATGGTTTTGTGCTTTACTGTGGAGAGCTTGTTTCTATTTATTTTTCTATCAGAACTACATTAGACTATGGTTGTGGGGAACATGTTGTACTGTTGACTAATCGTTGTGAAGCAATCAAAATTTTAATATCATCCCGTTTTCTTTTTCTTTTTTATTTTATTATAGATGTAATTATATTGAAATTCAGTTCCCTTCAAATGTTGATGGATTTCTCCTAAAACCTAACCTAGATCAAATATGGGGAATTTAAACGACGACATTTTTTTCTTCTTAAATGACCTGTTAATGTATAACGAACGGTTGGTGGAGTTCTGAAAACCGTGTCTGATTATTGGTATTGACATGTAAGAGTCCGAACGTGCAAAGTGTTCGTGGAAGCCCATTATTCGGTGCCGCAGTACAGATTTACAAACTCTTTTTTTTTTTTTTTGCTGAAAAAGTCTTAGGACTACTCCTTTGCATTACCTAATCTCTGTTGCCTGCCTTCTCGTCTACATTATATAAATAGTAGTCACATCAAATTCAAATCATCAAATTCACAATCGCGCTTCTCTCTTCCATCCATACTCAGTCTACCCATTGCACAGCAATAACAACAGGACAAGACAATGAAAGCAGGGCTTCTAGTCTCTCTGATAGTAAACTTTTTGGTGGTTGTTTCTGCCGGCAGCTTCTACAATGATTTTTATTTCAACTGGGGACGTGACCACGGTAAGGTATACGACAATGGCAATAGTCTGAGCCTCATTCTTGATAAAAATTCTGGATCAGGGTTTCAGTCCAAGAAAGAGTATTTATTTGGTAAGATAGATATCCAGCTCAAGCTTGTCCATGGCAATTCGGCCGGCACCGTCACAACATTTTATGTGAGTTTCTTTCACACACACACATCATATATATATATATATATATATTTGCTTCAAAGCAATGAATCATCTTTTAAAGACTAACAAACTAACTACTATATTATTTGTGGCAGCTATCCTCGCTGGGGCCATACCACGATGAGATAGACTTCGAATTCTTGGGAAATACAAGTGGTCAGCCATACACTCTTCACACTAATGTGTTCAGCCAAGGCAAAGGTAACAGAGAGCAGCAATTCTATCTTTGGTTTGACCCCACTGCTGATTTCCACACGTATTCTATCCTTTGGAATCCACAACGCATAATGTAGGTACAAACAATTTCTCAGACCTTCATTAAATCGGTATTATTTCTTACAGGATCCTTTCCCTTGTTTTCTGTGTTTTGCATTTTAGTTTTTCAGTCGATGGCATTGCAATTAGAGAATTCAAGAACTTAGAATCCATTGGCATTCCATTCCCTAAGAACCAACCAATGAGGATTTACTCCAGTCTTTGGGAAGCTGATGACTGGGCAACATGTGGTGGAAGAGTTAAGACAGATTGGACAAAAGCACCCTTCGTTGCTTCGTTTAGGAACTTCAACGTCAATGCCTGTGCTTGGTCTTACGGAGCATCTACTTGTAAATCAAAATCTGGCTTTGCTGACTCCATCAGCAACTCATGGATCTGGGAAGAACTCGATGTCGGACGCAAAGGCCAGATGAAATGGGTGCGGGACAATTACATGATCTATGACTATTGCAAAGATTCCAAGCGATTCCCACATGGCCTCCCTCGTGAGTGCTATGTCACCAACTTTCCCTGAACCAACCTCGAGAAAAAGAACTCATGGATGATGAAAAATGAAATACATATCCTAATTGTCAATTATATTGTTCAATTATTATTTTAATCGGTTTTGACAATTCTGTTTTCCATGTTTATTTAAGTATTTCCTTGTTCCCGTTGATCAAAACATATGATCACATAATTTTTTTTATATATAAATAACATTATTACAGTTAAATTTGTCGTGTGATGTTTATGAGCTTATACATTTACATTACTAGATTTAATAGTTTTGCTGACAGAAATTTATGTTGGTATTGATACTCATAGTATATCAATACGTATATTACTGTCAACAATATTTAAATGAACATTTATTTATCTGTCAGTATATCCATCTATAAATATAACATATCACCAACATAATACTAATAGCAGTAGCATTTATATTAATTCTATTTCAACTGTCTTTAAAATATACTAGCGGCGTTGTTCCGTTGGTAACCCCGTCAATAATATTTTAAAAATATATTTTTTAAAAAATTATTGAATAAAAGTAGAAAAATAATTAAAATGATATAAAAAATCAAATATTTATTACAAATTTAAATATTTATATGTTTAAATACAATAAATCTAAAATAGAGATGATGCTAGAGGAGGAGGAGGAAGTTGATCATCTTCAATACCATGGTGCAAGTTAGAAGATGGACATATACCACCTATTTGTGATCTCATCTCCACTACCAATCAATAGAATTCTTCATAATCATTAGTCAGTCATTCATATTTTTCATTAAGATGGGCCATTTGAGCCTATACTCATTAGTCTAACATCATCGCGAACTCTGGAGTTTGAATGCTAAGAGTTGATTGCAAGCATCTAATGGTTGAAGCACTACGAACCATCCACAAGTTTATGACTGTAGTCTTAGAGAGGCCGTACATCTGATTTCTATCAAGTCCACTAGATGATTCTACCTCCAACCATAAATTTAGATCAAGGTCTTGATGGGTCAAATGATCATCCTTGTATCTCTCCTTCAATTGACTATTATATATATCCTAGAAAGAAAAAAAATAATTCATCAAATTCAAGCAAAAAATAACTTAAGAAAAAAATAGTTAAAAACCAACATACCATAAAGTGTATTCCACTAGGCCTCGTCCTACCACTAGGCCTCGTTCTTGTGGGTAAATAGATCCCACTATGAAAGAGAAAAATATAAAAAGATAATGTACCTTAGGATAAGAAGAAAAGAAGATGCTTGATTTCGGCTTGGGTTGTGAATAAAAATAAGAGTGAAGAAGAAAAGAGAGAAAGAGAGAGATAGAAAGAGACAACATTTTTTGGTACGTGATTAGTACTTAAAAGTGCATTTTTATCAAGGTTTTATATCATCATTTTGCACTTGAAGTATCAATAACTCCTTAACTAAAGCATATTTTATAATAACATATCTAATAATATAAGATACTTTTAATTTATAGTAAATGTTCATCTTAAATGCAGGCCTATCACATAAATAAAAGGATTGATTAATGAGTTTAAGTATTGAAATTGAAAGGACAAAGAGATGGCCAAACTTAGAAAAGTGATGATGGTATAATTTAAACTTGAACACTATTTGGTAATTGAGTCATATCTAGAGCTAGAGATCTCGAATTTAGGTCTACTTTATATAAATAGAAAGGTAAGACATAGGTTTACAACTTTCAATTGAAGTCTGGTTTTAAAAAGGTCGTTTTTAAGTCCAAATTGTAGCAACAATGAAGAAGTC